AGAGCGGCAGGTGCCGCACGGGCGGCGTGCGCCCAATGAGCAGGGTATCCCTAGCCAGCCGTCCACAGACCCAGGTCGTCTCCCCTCTTTACACTGCAGAGCATCCTGCCGCCTCCTGGCTGCCAGGGTCTCTCCCCACCGCCCGGAAAGCCTGGACCAGCAGAAGGTGGCAGCAGCTTCTCCTGTCACTGCCCACGTAGCTACACATCCCCTGTACGCTGCTGTAGGCACAGCTCTACCTGGCTTCGGGCGCCTCAGCCGTCCACAGACCCAGGTCGTCTCCCCTCTTTACACTGCAGAGCATCCTGCCGCCTCCTGGCTGCCAGGGTCTCTCCCCACCGCCCGGAAAGCCTGGACCAGCAGAAGGTGGCAGCAGCTTCTCCTGTCACTGCCCACGTAGCTACACATCCCCTGTACGCTGCTGTAGGCACAGCTCTACCTGGCTTCGGGCGCCTGCGTCTCTGCTGTCTCCCTCTGGGCACCTAGCTCCAGGATGAGCTACAGGCAGGTGTGGCCTGGCCTGACTTACCTGCAGGGACCGATCCAATAGGAGAGCTCAGAGGCTGAGCATCATAGGATGCACCTCAGGGGCATCCTATGAGGTGGGGAAATTTTCACTCAGTTCCCCCTCTGCTGCCTGAGGAAAAGGGATTGAAATAGGGGTTCCCCCCATCCCCGCTGCCTCGTCACAGGGCTCAGGGATATTCTCATAGGTGTCTTTTTATTTTGTTGAAACCGTTCCTTTTAATTAACTTAATTGGGCCAGGGAGTGATACTCATTCTCCTCAGACTCACCGATGGGGGAGGGACATAGGCGGCAGTTGCCCCCCGGGGCCCAGTGATTCAAAGGGGCTGGAGCTCTGGGCAGCAATTTGGGGCGGGCATTCTGGGTGCTGCTGAGGGCTGTCTGCTCCTGCCCTGCCCTTCTACCCTTGGCCCTGCCCCTTCCAGGAACTCAGAGTTGCCCTCCTTGCCCATGGACCCATGGAGACTGTTGGCTCCACTGACTCGCCAGCCCTGTGTTCAGGGCACTCACCTCAGAGACTCAGGAAAAGGGTTGGGTGACAGAACTGCACAATTCCATTATGAACCATCTGATACAGAAAAACTGGTCCCAACCCCTTCTCCTTTTAATAAAAAGCCACAAAAGTCTTTTAACTGCTTGGTATGTCTCCTTGCAGCAGCCGCCACAGTCCCTGTTGAAGACTGAACCTTAATACTGTTCCTTAACACTCCATTTTCTTGGAAGCCACTTCGTTTCTTCAGGAAACAAAGTCCCTTTATGGAAAGAAACTAGTAAGGTATGATAAGTGTAACCCAAAACCCTGGATCTGCACTTTGAGGAAATTTGGGACTTGAAAACCAAACGTACAGACAGAGAAGAAATTTGGAGATATTCATAGTTTTAATGAGCAGAACACCCTTGGAAAGAAAGCCCTCGATCTGCAGACAACCCATCAGGATGTTTGTGATTCACATCTCAATTCTGGCAATAGCGAGGAGAGTGTGGGCTCACACTAAGTCTGTGGAACTCCTTGCCAGAGGATGTTGTGAAGGTAAAGACTTTAATAGGGTTCAAAAAAGAGCTAGATAAATTCATGGAGATTAGGTTAATCAAGGATTATTAGCCAGGATGGACAGGGATGGTGTCCCTTGCCTGTTTGCCAGAAACTGGGAATGGGTGATGGGATGGATTACTTTATGATTACCTGTTCTGTTCACTCCCTCTGGAGCACCGGCCTCCTCCGTCTGACCCAGCATGGCCATTCTTATGTTACCACCATACTGTAGAACAGCACCTAGTTTTATAGAATCATAGAATACTAGGACTGGAAGGGACCTCGAGAGGTCATCAAGTCCAGTCCCCTGCCCTCATGGCAGGACCCAGTACTATCTAGACCATCCCTGATAGACATTTATCTAACCTACTCTTAAATATCTCCAGAGATCGACATTCCACAACCTCCATAGGCAATTTATTCAAGTGTTTAACCACCCTGACAGGTAGGAACTTTTTCCTAACGTCCAACCTAAACCTCTTTTGCTGCAGTTTAAGCCCATTGCTTCTTGTTCTATCCCCAAGGTCAGGAAGAACAAGTTTTCTCCCTCCTTCTTGTGACACCCTTTTAGATACCTGAAAACCACTATCATGTCCCCTCTCAATCTTCTCTTTTCCAAACTAAACAAACCCAATTCTTTCAGACTTCCTTCATAGGTTATGCTCTCTAGACCTTTAATCATTCTTGTTGCTCTTCTCTGGACCTTCTCCAAATTCTCCACATCTTTCTTGAAATGGGGGTGTCCAGAACTGGACACAATACTCCAACTTAGGCCTAATCAGCGCAGACTAGAGCAGAAGAACGACTTCTCGTGTCTTGCTCACAACACATCTGTTAATGCATCCCAGAATCAGGTTTGCTTTTTTTGCAACAGTGTCACACTGTTGACTCATATTTAGCTTGTGGTCCACTATAAACCCTAGATCCCTTTCTGCAGGGCTCCTTCCTAGACAGTCGCTTCCCATCCTGTATGTGTGAAACTGATTGTTCCTTCCTAAGCGGAGCACTTTGCATTTGTCTTTATTAAACTTCATCCTCGTGACCTCTGACCATTTCTCCAGTTTGTCCAGATCATTTTCAGTTATGACCCTCTCCTCTCGCTGAAAGCACTTTGCACGCCACTGACGGAAAGTGCCAGGTTCCAATCCCGATGCTGGCTCGGAGTACTCCAGAGCGGTTACTCAATGCAAACGCCTTCGCAGGGAAGGGTGACGCATCCCAGCCTTCCCCCTGGAAACGGCACCAGGGGAGCTCTGCTCTGCGTGACTTGTCACGTGCACATTCAGGCCCACCCACCTGGGGGGACGGGGCAGGAACCCTTTCATCAGCCGAGTGCCACTGACTCGGGCTAACTGCCAGAGGTTTGGGTAGTACACGAGCGTGTCCATTAAGAGACACGTCGCAATAGGACTCCAAGCCACAAAATATGGCCAGTATGACGCCTGGGTCTGGGGGAAGCGAGGCAAGCAAAACAGAATCTCTGCTTTCTGGCTTTTCCCCAGCCCCGTGTCAAACCCAAAGGCAACACTGTAATCAAGGAATATCACTTTAAAAATGTCCTTCACTGCTTACAAGGTGGGGCACTGCTGGCCTTTCTGGATGGGCCAAGCACAGTAGCCAGAGCTTGTCTTGGCATCCAGGGTGCTCAGCACCTCCGAGGAGCAGGCAGTAGGTGGCTGTGTGGGGACATAAAAATGCAGAAAACTGCTTCTGACTCCACCTTTGTAAATCAAAGACCCTCTCTTGCAAAGTGTGTCCGTGTTTTTGGAAGCAAGACATTAGAAAGACAGCGGTATAATCGTTACAGCAACAATAATGAAGTGTTAATTACGTCTCATAACACAAGGACTAGGGGTCACTCAGAGGTTCTCACACATGAGTTAGAAGATAAGTCTAGTGGACATTAGATAAATGAATCCTAAACTGAATTTGGGTTGGGGAGACCTGCATGTTAGGACAATGTCATGCCATGGAGTTCTGGTTCAATATTTTCTATGCCTCTGGTATCATGCCTAAGGTGCCTTCCTGGCTCTAAGGAGACAGAACCTAATTCCTAACCCTTTCACTTCTGTTTCATGGCCTATAATGGTCACAGGGCCCATGCTACAGATTGCTTGTCACTTGGTTCAAAGGTCGCTGGGATCACTGAGGAAGCCGGTCATGCAGAAACTATGCAGCTCATTGCTTGTGTCTTCCAACAAGGATGTCTTTGTGCAACATGGCATGGTGGCTGGCCCAGTTGATTAGGAACAAGCTATAAATAACTTCTGGGCAAATATATTTAGTAAATAGTTTCCACTCTCTTGAGAGAGACACTGGTCAGTTTGAAGTATGTGTGAGGAGGGGTGGGAAGGGGAGCTTGGAAAGCTCACCAGTCCTCCGTGTAGCGATGCCTAGCATGCATGGTGATGCGATACAAAGGGGCCATGGCCTAGAGAATGTGTCCAAAAGAAACTAACGCTTTAAGAAGTGTGGTTTTAGCAGGACAAGGTGTGGGGTTGTTGTTTTTTAGAAACTGAGCATGAGTCTGGTGCTGCTGAAAGGGGGACAAGGAGAAGCGGTTGGAGTGAGAGATGGCACAGTAGGATCTGTGAAAGTCTCTGCTTTATGAAAAGCTTAAAACCACAAAAAGTCTTGCAGTACCTTAAAGACTAACAAAACAAGTAGATGGTATTTGCTTTATGAGTGAGCTCTGGGGACACCAACACGTTTGATGGGAAACTATACTTAAACCACATTGCTCTACCTACTCTGTGATAAAACGAGTAGTCCTGTGGCATCTTAAAGACTAAT